AGCCTTCCATTCTTCCGAGGTGGGTGAAATGAGGACCCAGACTGTGGGGGCGATATGCTGACTCTATAAACCGCTTAGAGAGGGCTGAAAGCCCTATGAAGCGGTATATAAGTCTAACTGCTATTGCTATTGCTATCTCGTCTGAGCTGTTTTCTGTTTGCTGCAAGGAGGCAAATTGCTGGGAGGAAGAGGCAGAATTTCCCCCCCTTGTTTCCCTCCCCAAAAGCGAGGTGCGTCTTATACTTCGGAGGGTCTTATACTCCGAAAAATACGGTACATACTTCTCGTTTTCGGCAAAACCGTACCCATACCGACCAAGTGGGTTCACTTAATGACGGCAGCGTTTGCTGAATGACCACTGGGGAGAAAGTCATAAAACCCTTTGTCGGTTGTACCGACCAATCAGTTTTACCTACGACTCTGCAGGAAGTTCTCAATTTAGGACCGCAAGCGAGCCCAAAACGCTCGTTGCTAAGTGAGCTTTGCTCTGTTTTATGACCTTCCTTGAATTGCCGTCGTTAAGCTACTCGCACTTTCGTTAAATTAACCAAGTTTCTCCCCATCGACGTTGCTTGTCGGAAAGTCGGCAAAGGGGATCCCGTGAGCCCCTGGGACTCTACGACCGTCGTAAATACGAGTGCCTGAATTTTGATCACATCACCACGGGGAGGCCGCAACAGCGTAAGCGTTTAAAAACGATCGTTAAGTCACGATTTTTAGGCTGTCGTAACATGGAATGTACTGACGTAAGCGAAGGACTGCTTGCTACAGCGGTCGTAAGCACGAAACACGGTCGTAGGTCCCTTTCAGTGGCACGGTTGCTTCAAACGGTCGCTATATGAATGGTCATAAGTCGAGGACTAACTGCGAGGCACAGGCTGGGTTGTGGTCATTGGTTAGCAATCACCTGCAATCCAGCGTGGTTCCCTCTCCCTCCACCCGCCCCGGTGGTCCACGGGGGGGTGTTTCGGATGGGCGCGGACAGCCTTACCTCAAATATTTCGTCCGTCTTCAGTTCCTTCATGCTGAAAACGATGCCGTGGCAGAAACCGGAGACGCGAACCGCCCGGCAGCCGTCCTCCTGGAAGGCCACGTTTTTGCCACAGGAGCTGTGGAAACGGTGGGCCACGCCGGGGACTGCAGGACAAGTGAGGGCGTCAGCGGGGCATCGAGACTTTGGGGGGGCACCCCAAGGTCTTGGCTAACCCCCCAAATCCTGGGGTGGAGGTGCTCACCTGGCGAGTGGATGGGGAAGGATTTCTCCGTGATGTTGCTGGTGGAGAGGCTGTTGTCCAGAGGCCCCGTGGAGCTGGTGATGGACACCTGGACGCACTGGCCGTAGAGATCCACCACAGCGTAGACCTCTGGGAAAGAGCGGAGGGAGGGAGGGAGGGAGACCAGGCGTCAGATCAGGCTGCCTTCAACCCAGCCGGAGAATAGAATAGAATTATTAGAAAAGGACAGAAGAGAATAAGGAAAGAACAGACAATAGAATGGAGTTAACAGAGCAAAGAATAGAAAATAGAAAAGAATAGAATAAAATAGAACAGCAAACAGAATAGACTAGAAAATAGACTAGAAAATAGAATAAAATAGAATAGAAAATAGACTAGAATAAAATAGAATAGACTAGAAAATAGAATAAAATAGACTAGAAAATAGAATAGAATAGACTAGAAAATAGAATAGAATAAAATAGAATAGAAAATAGAATAAAATAGACTAGAAAATAGAATAGAATAGACTAGAAAATAGAATAGAATAAAATAGAATAGAAAATAGAATAAAATAGACTAGAAAATAGAATAGAATAAAATAGACTAGAAAATAGAAAATAGAATAGCAAATAGAATAGAATAGAAAATAGAATAGAATAAGATAGAATAGCAAATAGAATAAAATAGAATAGCAAATAGAATAGAAAATAGAATAAAATAGAATAGAAAATAGACTAGAATAAAATAGAATAGACTAGAAAATAGAATAAAATAGACTAGAAAATAGAATAGAATAGACTAGAAAATAGAATAGAATAAAATAGAATAGAAAATAGAATAGAATAGAAAATAGAATAGAATAAGATAGAATAGCAAATAGAATAAAATAGAATAGCAAATAGAATAGAAAATAGAATAAAATAGAATAGAAAATAGAATAGAATAGAAAATAGAATAGAATAAGATAGAATAGCAAATAGAATAAAATAGAATAGCAAATAGAATAGAAAATA